TTAGACCAAGGTCACCTGGCTGACAGTCCTGGTCTCCCAGGAGAGCTTTTACTCTCCCAGTACTTTAAAAGTCACAGAAATAGGTTTCAATTGATGTTTAGTTTATTGTTCCTTTTTAAGTGCTTCTCATATTGATTTCATAGTGGCAGATTACTGATAATCTGTGATGTCTTTGCAGGACATACCAGAAATAATCCAAATGCTGGATTATTATAATCCTATGTTTTTAACATGTTTTTATCATTAACAGAAGTTGGTACTGATTTGAGACATGGGTATATAGTCTCAAATATCACCTCAGGCTTAATCAACACATGTCCTAAATTCCACATCATGAGTTTGGTGATTGTTTTAAGAAAAACTGGATTTTTAGTATGACAGACTATTTCCCCCCTCTTTCCTTTCTGCTCTCTGTTCTTTATTTCTTAGTAACTAAATTTTTTAAAATATGAACACATTAACTGAAATGTTGGGGGCAAGTTACCATAATATTCTGTCTTGGTCCCCATTTATGGATGTTTCATGTGATTAGAATATTTATTTGATTAAAATTATAGAGAAAAATTTATAAATTTTAACATTAAAAAATAAGTCCTGGGGTTAATGAAAAATATACTGTGGGAAAAGTACAACATGCATATTGGGAACTTTAGCCATATCAGGTCCAGCTGGGTTGTCTAATTTCAAAAATAAGATTGTTAAAATTATTTAAAAATGGGACTTTCTAAAATACCTAAAATTTACGTCATTATTTGCCTTTATACTTTTCAATTTTATTGGGTAGACTTGGTTCAAGAACATGTAGTATACTTTAGCCTTGTTTATGACGTAGTAAAAAGAGCACAAGATTTGGAAGAGGGTTATGCTTGAGTTGCTTTTCCATCCCTTACTAACTGTGTGATCAGGACAACATTCTTCACCTTTCTGAGCTTCAATAGGGAGGAAAATTGTTAAATTGAGGATTAGATTTAAAATACCAGTGTCACATTTACATACCATACTAATGTTTGTAATTACGTAAAGACATGAATAACTAACGTGTTCAAGTACTTTGTCTTTTCTTTGTGACTATGGTTATTATTAGTGTGATGAGTGTCCATTGTGTAAGTTCCAATGGTTTGGTACATTGGATATGTTGTATGTGAACTTCAGGATCTTAGGAGGAAACTAGGCCTGCCATGAATGATTGTTAGAGAGCACTTGACAGTGAATGACGAGGCAGTGCTGGTGTAGTTTAATTTCTATTTGCACGTCCTTTTTTAAGTATATTTTACTGATTATGCTGTTACCGTTGTCCCAATTCTTTTTCTCCCCTTTATCTTCCCTTTGTCCTGCACCACCCCCCACCCTCCAGCATTCCCCCCACCACCTCGCTTCATGTGCATGGGTTTGTACATGTAAGTTCTTCCGCTTTTCTGTTTCCTATACTATTCTTAAGCTCCCCCTATTTTATTCCTACCAATTGTGCTTCTTACTCCCTGTATCTCTCCCTACTACATTCTATCTTTCCCCTCCCCACAATAACCCTCCATGTGACCTCCATTTCTCTGATTATGTTCCTGTTCTAGTTTGCTTAGTTTTTGTTTGTTTGTTTTTTATATTCAGTTGTTGATAGTTGTGAGTTTGTTTTCATTTTACTGTTCATAGTTTTTTATCTTCTTTTTTATAGGTAAGTCCCTTTAAAATTTCATATAATAAGGACTTGGTGATGATGAACTCCTTTAACTTGACCTTATCTGGAAATCTGCCCTTCTGCTCTAAATGATAGCTTTGCATGTCCTTTTTGATAGATCATATCATAGTCATTTACCCTATTGACACCTTTAATTAACACTTAAACATTTCTTTCTCTCTGCCAGGAGTTGCATCTACATCATAACATTAATTTATCTCTGAGTATAAAAATAATACTTGGAAAATAAGAAAGCACATAGAAGAAAATGTATAAAACAGGTTATTTCCCTCTAATAGAAATATCCATTTATATGTATTATATTGCCTTCTAACCTTTTTTTCTCATTATATAACTGTTTTGCTTATCATGACATATGGGTATTTTCCCATGTTTATCTTTACTACCTTTCTTGTTCAAGTTTTAGAGTATATATATAATAAAATAGCTGCCTAAGAATAAAACTACCTCTTGCAGAGAAATGTAAATACTCTTAAGTATTAAAATACTTCTCAAACGAAAGAGCTAACATACAGGGGAAACAAGCGTTGGCAGGTTCAGTTACTTGTGGTTTGCTTGGAGAGGAGGATGACTTGTGGTCCTGAGCTATCAGCGTGGTGACTGGGCAGAGCACAGGCTTTGCACTGGGGCTGAGTTGAGTGAATCCTGGTTCCCTCACCTATTAATTGTGTGATGTTGGACAATAACTTTACTTCTTCGAACTTTGGTTTCCTCATCTTTAAAGTGTTGTGAATAATGCCTGCCATTTAGGGCTACTATCTTTTTAGAGACAATGGTTATAAATAAAGTATCTGGCCCATGGCCTGAACATGTTAGGCAGGGGGTAAACAATAGAAGAAGCCTAAGACACAAAATTTAAGCATACATTATGAAGAGCATGGTACATGTTAAATTAAAATACCTCTGTTCTTTTTTTTTTTAAGATTTTATTTATTTTTTTAGAGAAGACAAGGGAGAGAGAAAGAAAGGGAGAGAAACATCAGTGTGTGTTTGCCTCTTGAGTGCCCCCTGCTGGGGATTTGGCCCACAATCCAGGTATATGCCTGACTGGGAATCAAACCAGCGACCCTTTGGTTCACAGGCAGGCACTCAATCCACTGAGCCACACGAGCCAGAGAACAATACCTCCATTCTAAAAATATTTATTTGTATAATTCACTGTTTCCCTTTTCACTTGTAAAAATGTATGACTTCCACAGGAGGAGTAGAAAATGATGAAAAAGTGATGCTGCCTCAGAGATGATCTCTATGCTGGCAGAGTCCTTAACTATGAGCCGTAGCAAGCCCCTGTCCGGGTTGCTGTGATCACTTCAGTCTTGGGACACACTCACTGAAGGGATGTGGAGGATTCACAGATGAGTTCGCAATCCAAGGCAGTGTCACGTGACCTTTGCTGCAAGTGATCCAGTTCAGGGAAAGCAAAAACCTTTTCTGTGCACTTACAAAAGAAAACATCAGAATGAAAATAGCTTTCATGATCCCTGTTGTGGGTGGTGGGGTAGAGGATATAAATTCTGAAATCTTCAATTGCTTATTGAACATACAAGTATAAGTGAAAAGTTGGTATTTATTTTAGCCAGTAACAAGGTAAATCCTGGGTGTATCTGAGGAAGAACAGCAGTAATCTAATTCTTATTTCCACATTAGACTGCCACGTTAAAGGAATCCACAGGTTCTGGTTGCTCGTGTCTGATCTCGGATGAGTCAGAGATACAGACACAGCTCAAATAGGAGCACAAGCAGGGTGGTGATAAGTGTTGTAAGGGACCCAAGTATGGTATTTAGCAAGTGGTTCATTCTTATGATGGAAACAGGAAGATATCTCCAAGAAAATGATAAGTAAGTGGATCTTGTAGGATGAACAGAAGTTAACTGGGAAGGCTGACAGCCTTCCAGGCCCAGAAAACGGTGTGACAAATCATAGGGTGTGTGGCGTGTAGCACAGGTCAGAAAACGGAAAGTAGCTGTGGTTAGCCAGGGGCACAGGAAGGTGCTGGGTGGATGAGCCTAGAGCCACTACACTGGTACCACATTTGACTTTTACCAGAGGTGGCAAGATTTTTATTTCCATTCCAGAGAAACATCGAGAATGTTATATTGATATAAGTAGTAAAAGCAGAAAGTAACAGCTAAGCAATTTAAAATAATTTGTAAAACACCGAAGACATGACAAGTATGCTCGCTAAAACAGACCATTTTTTAGGAAGGTGGATGGTGTCATATTCCAGCCCAACTAGAAGGCAAATGCTTCGAACAAGAGTTAACTCTGAACCCAGCATCAGAAATGTATCAGTTTAATAGGTAACCCGTAGAACATAGCTAAATGATATGCTGTGACTTGCCATCTAGAGGGTTAAAATCCATTATGCTCTCAACCACTGACACTCCCTAAACCTTCAGAATTCACCACTGACTTTTCAGAGAGAAGTTTATAGAAAGACAAATATATACATGCACTTCTCCTTAAAAATCAGGACAGTGGTAAGAGACTTTGATGAGCACACAGGCAGGAAGTACTCAAGTACTGTAAATAGAAGAGTTGATAGCATAAAATTCATGCTATTATTATGTTTTCTCATAATGATTTCCTGATTTTTCCCCCTTCTTTAAGCACAGGGGGGAAGTCAAGAAATCAGGATCAGACCCAGCCCTATCATTTTCTAAACATACGCCTCATCTCAGGTCCGTTTCCTAAAGGATTTTCAACGACCGACTCTGCAAGATGAAGGGAGCCTCCTGCCAACCCTCCTCTATCTGAGAACAGCTTTGCTTTTATTTGAGTTGCTAATAACATCAGCTTTTACAAGAGTTTCAGCAAAAGAATTTGATCACTTTTTGAAAGTCTGAAAATCACTGAACTGGATGTTCCAAAGGGCATATCCAGCTCAGAAACAAGCTCCACATGTGTGGAACGGGGATAACAACATAGATCCATTTCATACATATGAGGTCAATCAAGATACACACGTAGAACAGAGCACAAAACATAGGAAGCATCGCCGCGTCAGCTATTATCCTCCCCAACTCCACACTGCTCTCTCATAAGTAAGACTGCATTTCATGACTCTTAAACTTTGAGTATAAAATGTCGACCTGAAAAAAAATGCCTAATTCATCTGTTTTATACCAAAAACACTATAAAGTGTCTTGGACATTTACTCTGTGAAAACATCCCATAACCATTTTCTTTTTCTTTTTTTGTTCATTGCTTTTTCCTCTCACAAATGGAAGTTTTCTTCTACATCAGACCTTTGAAATAATTATCACCAGATGCAATGATGACATTGCACATATCTATGTGTTTCAGGCTTGCCAGCTCCTGGGAAAGTGACATCAGCGTCCACTCTTTAACCCTGCCCTCCGCAACCTGCTTGGAGCTGCTGTTGATATTATCAAGGAATACTGCCATGTTGCCTCCCTCCCTCCGCTCCATGAATTCCTTTCAGGTAAGGGATTGCTCCTTTACCCGTGTGATATCTCAGTTTTACTTGTAATTGTCTCCTAAGGAGCCTGACTTTCACAGGAGGTAGTCCATGGAAACCCACATTTTCACATAAAATAATAATAAGCATAACGCATGTACTGTCTTGTCTATCCCTTTTTGAATAAAGGAACAGATAGAGGCTCAAAATCAACTAGATCATTGTCTAGTAGTGACAGAATCCATATCTAACTCCAGGGTTTGTTCTCTGAATCTTCATCTTTTCTGTCTCTGAGAGAAAAGGCAAGAACATTTGGCAGAGACACCGTGAATGCCACTTCCTTTTCCCCAGATTTGCCCCAGAACAAGGATTTTCAGCTTGCGGTGACAGTACCCTACTCACTCTCAGCACCTGTTCCCTCTCTCCCTGGTCCCTCCCTCGTCACTTTCCCACTGTCCTGAATATTTATTAGTGCTCCTGGTAAAGAACAGAGCAGGACGAACAGAACAGCAAATATGGACTGACCAGCAAGACGACTCACTTTCTGGCAGGCAGCTGATTGCCGCTGAGGAGGCAAATGAGAATTACAATGTTAATTAATCACCTAAGTTGTGACCCAATAGCTACTGAGTGTGATTGAATACATCTATGACAACAGAAACATATTCACAAGCCTTCTGCAGCTGGTGAGAAGGCCATGCGCCTCCTTGAGAAGTAAGTCAGCGTAGGTTGGTTCTGCTTCTGAGGGATTGCTGATGTATCCTAATATAATTTCAGGATCAGCATAAATTGCTCGGTGAATCTCTGTGTTAAAACAAGATGTAGACTTTCCTATGTATTATAGCTCAGTAAATTGATTAAAAAATAACTGGTCTGATGTAATTTGCATCTATGTTCTCATGGTAATATGTTGCATTGATTATCTCTGTGATTTTCCTCCTGATAAAAGTCCAGACTTCATTGGTCGTGGTGTACCTGTGTGTGTTTATCATTCATTACTCAGTTATCAACTTTAATCCTGGACTCAAGAGGCCTTAGAGAATAAATACCTTATCATTTCATAGGAGAGGAAACTGAGACCCAGAGAGATGGAGTGGGCTGGCCAGGCACCACCCAGCGTGTTAGAGACAGAGCTGGACTCACCAGGCTAAGGCCCGGGCAACTGCATCTGCCCCTAAATGCAGGACTTGCTGAAGTCTTGGGGGTGGGGCAGCAGGGCAGTGTCAGTGGTACCCCTTATTCTGTAGTCATTTATAGTTACTTTGTTTATTTGTATACTGCCCTGAACCAGGAATGATTTAAAATTCTTTTAAGTTTTGCTCTTTGTATTGATCATTGGATAACACATAAGTTTGTATATATCCACAAACTTTTATGGAGGGAGATAAGAAACTTAACAATGGTTACCTTTGGGGAGTGAGGCTGGTAGACAACTGTTTTTTATTTCACTCCCTCATGTCCTGTGTGAAATTTTCATGTGATGAGTGAGTGGGGAGCAAGAGAGATGAATCCGACTTCAAGAATTTTACACAACATATTTGGGGAAGATGGGACAATTATCTGTGTATAATATAAATTGAGAATAATTATATTATGAAGTAGCCTCAATGCCAGTCTTAAAATGATTAAAGGTGAAGAGTAATCTGAACTGAACTGCATGTGAGGGATTTGAGAGGAGCCCAGTCTGGGCTTCTTCTCCATGAGACCGGCAGGTGGTCCTGCACCCTTCAAGAGTCTCGGCTTGGGCTCTGTAAACATGGGCATGAAGGCCTGGCCTGCGCTTGGTGGCACTGGCGTTCTCTCCTAGCACCTTTACTCACAGGAGCTTTGAGAGCTGTCAGGATGTTAATTACCGAATGACCCTCTCTGTCAGTGGTTGTGCTTCCTCTGGTCTCACTCCATTTGCTCAATGTTATCGTCAGGAGCGCATACACTTTCCAACTTCAGAGGTATAGAGAACTTGTCACCATTTCATGAACAGTGTCTGCCTAAGAGATTTTTCCCTGTTGCTGGCCTTGGAAAGATGCATTCTTCTCATGAATATACCAGAAATCAACTTCCCAATGCAGGCCTTCACTCCAAAATAAAGGATTAGTGAAAAGGGGAAGTTGTCTGTCAAATTAGAAAGAGATGCTCTGCTACTTCACCTTTAATGCCTCCTTAATCATTTATTAAAATAGCAAGGAATGGGGCTGCTCATCTGCCTGTACTTGGGATTTATTTTTTCACCTGGGGACTCACTTGAATGTAGTTTTTTCAAGTGCTATATTGGCAAGAGCTGTAAAATAATGGAATGGCATTTGTCAGAGAACCACCCTTACATTTCCAGTTCTGTTGTAATCCAGGCTAAGTTACTATGAGCAATCTTTTTTTGTAAAAATGTGATTTTCAGTTTTTGAGGATTCAAACAGCACTCCTGCCTGAGCCCTTATCACTGCCAAATCCCCAAAAGAGAGGTTTATCTTATTAATTGGAGCTATCAACATATATGAAATTCTAACTTCTTAAATTACTATGTAACACTTCCCTCAGACCAGTAGGGACATCTTTGGGTGGCTTTGTTATAATTTTAACTTGTACTCTGTTACAGTACCTTAATATCCCTTGTGTGATTGTGAGCAAGCAGAATGTGGGATTTGGTTAAGAATCACTGATGTAATTGCTAAACACCTACTGTAGATGTTGTTGTTGCAGCCCCAGGAAGAAGGGTGGACTTACCCTGTCACTCTCTGCTTAAACTTCTATGACTTTTAATTGCAGTGAAAATAAAATCCAAGCACCTTAACCTGGCCAGCCAAGCCCGGCAACATCTGTCCCTGCCTCACCTTTTGGCCTCTTCTCCTGCTTTCTCCCTCACACTCTGTTCCAGCCACACTGGCCTCGTTTCCTGCTGCCTATCACAACAAGCTGGTTCTGGCCACAGAGACTGTGCACTGGCTGTTTTCTTTGCTACCAAGAAATATTCGGGGGCCAGATCTTTGCATGTCTGGGTGCATCTTTTCTTTCAGGTCTCAGCTCAGGAGTCCCCTCCTCTAAGAGACCTAACCTGACCCTCCTCATCAAATGTTTCACTCCCCATCAGCATATTCTATAATCTCATTTTCTCATAGCACTTTTCACTGTTTAAAAGCATCTTGTTCATTTGTTTGTCCGTTTTTCTCTACTGCAATGTGTGTTAAATAAAAAGAGGGGGAATGTATGTTTTTGTTCGGTACTGTATCAACAGAACCTGGAAGTAGGAAGCTTAATAAATATGAGATGACTGGCTTATAAATGGGTGGGTGAATGGACACAGAAATAGAACGCAAATTGGCATAGCCATTTGACATTCTAACAAATGGGAATTATTCCAAAAACTGAGCTACAGAGAAACAGAGGTGTGAACACTCAAAGGCAGAAGCAAAGCTTTTCTCTCCCGAGAAAGGGTGGACTCAACAGGTAAGGTTCAGATTCGAGAGATGTGGACAGGATTTTGAGCACAGATGGGTATTTGCATTGTAATTAGAGCCTGGGGCTTTGTATAAATGAGAAAGACTGGAAGTGTTCAGACTTTATAAAGAGCTGGCAAGAGTCAAGAGAAGCAGGGTGACTAGTGTACAGGACCGGGCTCCCTCTGGGCACTGGAGACCGCAGAAGGCGAGACAGGAGTGATGTCCAAGCTTTGGTGCCAGAAACCATGTTGGGGTGAATGGGAGGTCCTCGCAAATGGGGGTGCATGCGGCCTGCTGCCGTCCCGACTGCTGCCAGTCTGATTCTACTCCGAGTGCTTCAGAACCCTGGAGTCGGGTGGCAGAAGGCCATTTCCATATTCATCTTGCTGGGCAGCAACCAGCTTCTTAACTGAAAGCTGGCAGTAGCAACTTTAAATATGGATGGTGTCTAGAATGTAGAGCCTCAAGAGCAACTCGGTTGGGACCAGGACTGGGCAGGGCTGCTGGTTTTAATTGCTGTGCCTTTTCCTTAGAATCCTAGACTACTGTAGCTGGAGAGACCAGTTAGTCTAAGGACCTCAGTGTCCTAGATAAGGAAGGGATCCTTGAAGGGTAAGCCGATATTGGAGACTGTAACTTTGATTCCTGTGCTACGCTTTGTGTGCTGCACAGGATGCTGACTTCTCTTCAGTATAAAGGAACTTTTTTTCTATACCAGCACTTCTGTAGTCCATGGGACACGAGTTTCTTAGGTTATAAATAGGTGTTATAGAAACAACTAGTATTTAATCATTATTAATGATGTAAATTATAAAGGCTAATATTTATTCAGTGCTTTCTGTTACCCAGGCACTGTTGTCAATGATTTGCACTTATTAGCTCATTTCATTTTCATGGAAAAAAAATACCGTGAGGAAGGTATATTATTATTCCCATTTCACTGGTGCAGAAATGAGCCAGAGAGAGTAACTTGCCTGTGCTCACACAACTAGTGAGTGGAGGCGCACAAGGTACAGAGCCTGGCTCTAGAATCCCTTAATCTTAACCTCCAGGTAAAATTGCCTTTTAAAATAAATTCAGTTAAACTAAGCTAGATTTTTTTAACCTGCAGGACTTTTTAGGGCCTTTCATGTATGTGTAAGGAGCAATGTGACCTTCTTAGTTGAAGAATATAATAAATATTCTTTCCCAATTGTCCTTGATAATAGGAGGGCTTTTTCTAGGGACGTTTAATGGGACTGATGCTCTGACAACACAGATGGGGAGACACTGTTCTGTCCAACGGTGAAAGATGTGGGTGAAAAGGCGGAGTACTCACGTGCAGTCTTGGTGGCCGTCTTGCTTATCTGCAGCCGAAATAGTGCTGTGGATGTAACTGGTGATTGTAAAGTGTGGGGGATTTATTTATTTATCTGTCTATTCATTTATTTATTTAAGTGACTGGACAATTCTCTTTGTGGTCAGGGCCACCTTGGTCAAAATGGCACAACAGGAACAAGGTCTGCCTTGGCCGTTTCTTAGTACACAGTGAGTCGTGCTAGAGGCCCAGCAGGCCCCTAGCTGAGCGCTGCTTTTCCAGTCTGCACCTGCCTC